TAAAGAGCTAGACCCTTCTAAGAACCCAACTGAACTTAAAAAATAATGAATTTAAGAATCAAAGTGAAAAAAAGGAAAGGAAGGCTGACATACATGTACTGTCCGAAGGTGCAGCAGAAACAGAGCCTGGTTGAGTTCAATTTGTTTCTGTTTTAGAAAGGGAGCTGGGGATAATTGAATAGTTTAAGAGGAACCTAAACATCATTAGAAAATCACCAGAAATGGCTTACCTCTCAAAAAGAATGGTCTGCACACCTCCTCACACTCACAACCTCTCACTCCCTTCCTCCCGATTCACCCTCTGTTTTCACTTCTGCACTCTTTCTCATATTCAATTTTTCTTCTGCTCACCAATATGTCCACTGCTTTTCAATTTCCTTTCTTCTTTATGAAGGAATGGAAAGGAGTCGATGGCAGAACATAATGATGGATTTCTATATTCATCACCACCATCAAATCACAACCATGTGATCCTGACTCTGTGATGAAGGAGAATGGCCGACCATTTTTGGCAAAACAGGCTGGAAAGAGGGCACCTAGTCTTTGTATGATATCTTCTTGGGAAAATGGACACCTCACTTTGGCCAAGTGAGTGGGATGCCTGTAGAAGAAGAAAAATAGAGGAAAATATGCATACCCGTGTGTGGGAATTTATTTATTTATTTTTCCAAAAATCCCATGGCTAAAAATCAAGAAAAAGGAAAAAATTAAGAAAGAGAGAAAAAAAGGCATTTGAAAACATAAATTTAAACAATTAGCAACATAGGTTATTAAGAAGGAATCTCATTATAGTAGAATTTTACAAATTTTTTTTCTTTTTTTCTTACAAGATATAAAAAATGGATATTATATTTCTCCCCTCCTTAAAAAAAAATTTGTCCCAAAATTTTGCACATTTTAACTAAACAATTCAAGATACAATTCCCATATATCATTCTCAGACTGCCAAGTAGCCTCTTCTGGCGAGTAGGGTGGCCATAGAACTTTTGCCAACAGAATCTTCCTAGGATGAAGAACACTTTCCTGACGGTCAATTATTTGAACATGTTCTTCTTCATAGGTCAAATCCTTTTGTAGTGGTAATGAATCATAAGAGAGAATGTGAGATGAATCCAGTTGATATTTGTGGAGCATAAAAACATGGAAGACATCATGAACACCAAGAAACTGGGTGGAAGTGCAAGACAGTATGCAATATTTCCAATCTATTATAGGATTACAAAAGGTCTTACATATCTAGGGCTTAATTTACACATTTTTCTAAATCTAATGACTCTCTGATTGGAGATACCTTGAGAAAGACATAATCTCCCACATCAAATTCTAAGGTTTTTCTTTTCCGATTTGCATAACTTTTTTGCCGACTCTGATAGTGAGGAGGTTCTTCTTAATATGGAGACCTCGTCAATACTTTTATGGACTAAGTTAGGACCCATAATTTATTTTATCCCAACATCATCCCAACATGTAAGAGAACGACATGGTCTACCATATAATGCTTCATAAGGAGTCATCTTAATACCGGAGTGATAGCTATTATTATAAGCAAACTCTGGCAAAAGTAAATGTTTACTCTATTTACTTCCAAAGTCAATGATGCAGGCTCTTAGCATATCCTCGAGAATTTGAATGGTTCTTTCAAATTAACTATTATTTTGAGGATGAAATATTGTACTAAAAGATAGACTGGTATCGAAAACTTCCTATAAATTGACCCAAAATCTAGAAGTAAAATAGGGGTCCAAATCAAATATCACAAAAATTGAAATACTATGTAATCAGACAATTTTCTGAATGGAACTAGTGGTTTTCACAATTAAAAAATGAGCCGACTTGGTTAGTCTATCCACAATTACCCAAACTAAATTGAAGCCATGTTCAATTTGCGGCAGACCTTATATAAAATCCATGAAAATATGTTCCCATTTCTATTCTGGAATAAAAAGAGGCTAAAGCAAACCACTAGGCCATTGATGCTCAATTTTAATATGTTGACAAGTTAAACATTTGGAGATAAAATTTAAAATGTCTCGTTTCATACCTAGCCACAAGAACTGAGATTTTAAATTGTGGTACATTTTGGTACTGCTAGGATGGATAGACAACTTAAAAAAATAAACCTCCTTAAGAATATCTTGCTTCAATTTAGAATCATTAGGTACCCACATCCGATTTCTGAACCAAAGAATACTATCATCAGAAATCTTAAAATCAAATTCATTATCCATAATTGCTTAGTCTAATTGTTATAACACTTTAAGATCCCTATATTGAGTATTTTGAATCTCTGGATAAAAGTAGTTCAATATAAAGATGCGTCAGATGAGAACAATCATTAGAGTCTTCCAAAGATAGATCTTGGATTGCACAAAGTAGTTTCTAATCAAGACATCAGCTGAGCAGCAAAACA